CTCCCTGGGCAGTGGGCAGTGGGAAGTCGGGGCTCCTGGTCAGTCCACGCTGTCTCAGCAGCGATGCTCCGCAGAGCATTCTGTGGCCTCCGCCGCCCCCCAGCGGGGCTGTCTGGCAGCGCAGGCGCCACTGCTGCCCGTCAGCCACCCACCGGCGCCCTGCAGCTCCCAGCCCTCCCCCTGCAGCTCCCAGCCCTCCCCTGGTTCCAGGGCCCGACCCAGCTCGCACCGCCTGGGGGAGGAGGATCCGAGGTGCGAGTTCTCTGGGCAAGTCCCTGCCTCGAGGCCGTGTCTCCTTCCTTCCTGTTTGTCATAAACACAGAGGATGCACCACTGCCAAGTGCAAGTGCACATAAACGTGGGCAAAGGACACCCAAGTCCCATAACCCTCCCTCCCAACGAGGCTCAGCGCCCACTGCTGGCCTCTGCCTCCCGCTCCCTCCTTGCAGTTTTCCTAGGAGGTCTCTCCCCCTCCTCCTCCTCCTCCTCCTCCCCCTCCCCTCCTCCTCTCTCTCTCTCACACTCTCACACACTTTGCAGCCCTCCCCTGTCCTCTGTGGCAGGAGGTCTCTCCTGAGACCCGGAGCTGTCTGCGGGGAGGTGGGCCCAGGCCAGCACCCAGCAGGGAACACCCCCTGAGTGGGTGACCGAGCAGGTGCCCCCCTTTTACAGATGAGGCATTGGAGGCCGGGTGAGGAGGAGCCGGCCCAGGCGGTTGGCTGGTGAGTGCCAGAGCCGGGCAGGGCATGGTTGCTCCCTCCTCCCCTACCTCCTTGCTTTGCCCGGTCAGCAGGCCTTTGTCATGGCCCCTGGCCAGCAGCCCTGGCCCCTGGCCCCTCCTCATAGGAAGCAAGAGGGTGCACCTGGGCCCCGGGGGTCTGGCTCATCGCTGTGGGCCCACAGGCCTGTGGGGGAAGGAAAACTTTAAACTGCTGACAGAAAGGCTTTCGGGAATCATACGTGGATTGAAGCTTCATTTATTAAAGAACGGGGCAGCCCTGGCTAGTGTGGCTCAGTGGATAGAGAGTTGGCCTATGGACTGAAGGGTCCCAGGTTCGGTTCTGGTCAAGGGCACAGGCCCAGGTTGCAGGCTCGATCCCCAGTAGGGGATCCATGATTCTCTCATCATTGACGTTTCTCTCTCCCTTCCTCTTATCGATATATATTAAAACAGCTGAGCCGGTGGCAGACGTGAGTGCGGGAAGCGGGCGTTTCCCATGGGCAGGCGCCTCATTCTGGGATGGTGTGGTGGGCGGGGGCGGGCAGAGGACAGTGACAGGCCCAGAGCTCAGATTTGGGACCAAAGCTCAGTCCCGTCGTTTGCTGTGTGATGCTCAAGGAACACCCTTCTGTCCACAGAGCCCCGAAGCACAGGCACTGGTCCCGCCCACGGGGTCCCGCCCATCGGCTGGGCAGGTCCATACCCGGTGGGGACACAGCCCGAAGGACAGGACGCCACCCAGCCTGGCCGCAGCACTCAGGGGGTCCGTTCCCCTTGGGGTGCACTGCGTTCCGGGTCCCAGACCCTGGGCCTGGCGTTAAGAGTTCTCGTTGATTTCCCTTGGGAAGTGTTGGCGTGCCGGCCCAGGTCTGTCTGCATTGGAATGCTGGGGTTCTCAGGCGGCTGTCTTTCCTTCCTTTTCCCCAAGAAAACCTCAGGGTCTTCCCCCCACCATCCACCCCCCAGACCAGCTCCATTTGGGAAAATTCCCGGCTCGCTGCCTTTCCCAGACACCTGTGCTGCGGGGCTGACCCTGAGCTGTGCTCCCATCCCCGCTGGGGACACTGCCCCCCTAGCAGGGGCCACATCACCACCAGCCGGGCTAGGAGGGCAGTGACCAGGCGGGCAGGCCAGGACTATGTCACTCCCCGCAGAACTGCCCCAGAGACGGGGGGCACACAGCAGAGAGGGTGGCCTCAGCCCCCACTCCACCTGCCACCTCTGCTGCCCCCGCCCCCCGCCCCCGGGACAGATGTCCTCCCTCCTGCACCACCAATCATGCCTCGGACATGGCAGGATAGTGACAGCGACAGCAGAGGCACAGGAGGAGAACTGGTGCGCTGGCAGCAAGTGGATCAGTGGAATATAACCACCCAACCACCGACCTGCGGAGGAGGAGGAGGGAGGGCGGGTGGGGAGGACGTGGGAGGACCATCAGCTGCACGTAGGTCTCCTGCTCAAGGCTCATGGGCATCCCATCCAATCCCCTTCCACTTCCTTGTCCTGGCCTGAGACAGCTCACCGGACAGTCCCAGCTCCTGGCCAGGTGCCTAAGGAAGGGAGGCTGAAGAGCAGGCAGAGGTTTTCCACCCAACGGTGAAAAGGAGGGAGCCCTGACCTGTTTGGCTCAGTGGATAGAGCGTCGGCCCAAGGACTGAGGGGTCCCAGGTTCGATACCAGTCAAGGGCATGTACATTGGTTGTGGGCACAACCCCAGTAGGGGGTGTGCAAGAGGCAGCTGATCGATGTTTCTCTCAATTCTCTCTTCCTCTCTGCAAAAAAAAAAAAAAATATATATATATATAAAAAAAGAAAGAAAGAGAAGGAGGGAGGTGGAGGTTTAAAGCCCAGATCCAGCCCTTGTCAGCTCTGTGAAATGTTTCTACACAGCGGAGTTGCTGAGATTGAATGAGTTACTAAACAAAGCACTTACAGCACTGCGTGGCTCACACTGAGGGCCACATAACGTTAGCTGTTCTTCTGCTCCCTTGGGTGCGAAAGGCTCGCCAGATGGGATTGGGGGAGGGGGTGCCCACAGACACCGGCCTGCCAGGGAGCAACGGGCTCTGACCAAGGCTCTCTCCTGGGCCACACCCCTCGCAGGCTCCTCGGCTCCAGGTCAACGAGGCCTCCACTTCTGTTGTTTCTGCATTTTCTGATTTTTGCAAGAACCCCCTCACCCCAGATGTTCCCTCTTAGTCATTTCCCCACTGGCCCGGCGGTCCGGGCGGCGGGCGGGCCTGGCTGGTGCTGTGAGGCCGGGGTCACAGTCCTGCACAGGAAGGGCTCTGGGGGAGACCGGTCTGGGGTTCCCAGCTGGGCAGGTGCCGGTGGGCATCCACGCCCGGGCCTCTGGCTCCAGCAAAAGGCTGGTCCCGCCTACAGCAGCCCGTCCTCTGTCCTCGCGCACCGGGGCTGACACGCCTTAGAAGCAGCGGCCCATCCTCCACTCCCCCCAGGGCCCGGCACGGCGTTCCCCGGCGTCCAACGGGCGTTTCCCGGGAGCCGGAACCCAGCTGTTCACCCCCAGCTACTCCCAGGCCGGAAGGTCCGGCCGGGACCGGAAGCCCTTAAGGTTGTACTTCCGGTAGAGCGGGGCGGGGCCTAGGGGCAGATCCGCGTCCTGCGTCACTTCCGGGCGCGCTGAGCGAGGTGAGTGTGGGCGGGATGGCGAGTCGCGTCCCCCTGCGCGGGACCGAAGCCTCCGTGGGCGGCTCACCTGCCGGCGGCAGCGCGGAGGGCCGTCCGCTGGGGAGCCGCCCGGGTGCGGAGCGGGGAGCGAGTGAGGCCCCTCGCCGGGGCCGAGACGGGAGCGGGGAGACGGGAGCGGGGCGGACACCCCTTGTTGCCCGCCGGCCGGCTACACGTGTGTGCGGTCACCGAACGTGGGCGCCTGCGGCACTTCCGGTTCTGCTGCCCGCGGTGCTCGCTCGGGAGCCCGAGGCGGCTCTGGCGCAGAGGACTTGCTCCTTTTCCTCCCGCCTCCCAGCCGCCCTCCTTCCTTCCTGTGTTTTTGTTTTATCTTTAAGTCTCTACTGTTGAGAGTATTACAGATGTGCCCTTCTCTCCCCCATCGCCCCTCCCCACCTACTGTCTGTCCACCCGTTAATCTCCTCCCGCCCCGTCGCCCCTCCCCTGTGTGGGGGGCAGAGCTGCCTGTCTCCGAGCCGGCAGAGGCCTGTGCAGTAGGTGCCCCGCAGGACCCGGGGCTCGGCCTCCCCGGGCACCTGAGCTGGGAGCTCCAGGTGCGCCCGCTGTGGGCTGGTGCACCGTCTTGTAATTGAGCCTTGATGGGCGACCCGGGAGGACTGACCTCCAGGCCAGCTGGCTGGGAGGACCGTGAGGACAGTGGGAGAGCTGTCTTGGGGCTCACTGAGTCTGCCCCCGAGGGGTGGCTCACGGGTGTGTAGAGTTGTCACCTGCTGTGGCCTGAAGCTGTCTGCCGGGTGCAAAGTCGGCCGCTGGCGGGGGCCACCTGGCAGGAGCCCGGAGAGAGCGTCAGATCTGTATGGGCTCGGAGGTGCCCAGGGGAGGCCCCGCCGTGAGGCAAGGCCACTGTGGGAGAGCCGGGCGGGTCTTTTACGGACAGGCTTGGGGCTCGTGGGAGAGATTTTTGCCAAGCCTGAGGCCTGAGCCGGGACGGGCCGTTCGTACGGAAAAGCCTGGGTGGGGGCTCACTGTGGGCCGGGCTGGTGGGGACAGACACGGGGGCCAGTCACCCCCACAGCAGGGGCGGTCCCAGCACAGGAACAGTGACCCTGGGAGCACCCCCAGGAGGGAGCCACCCGGAAGTCCTGCCCAGTGCCAGGCAGTCCAGTCTCCCCGTCGGTGTCTGGGTCCCCCACGGCCCGGTGCTGGGAGGAGGAGGACAGTGCGCCGGCCCCTTAAATGAACGCCGCGTCTCCGGCTGCCTCCGCGTCTCCGAGCGCCAGCCCCCGTGGTGCCTCCAGCCCGAGGTTACAGCGACTTCTCCTCGGCCGTGGGTCCGGGGCTGGGCTGGTGTGGCCTGGGACCCCCCCCCCCCCCCCGGCGTGCGGCCCTGCAGCCAGGGCATCCCTTCCGGTGAGAAAAGTCCCTGTGGCCGAGGGACCAGCCCACCCGCGCCTCCGCCCCTTACGTCCAGTTGTGCGGCTTCCATTCCGGCTCAGGCGGTTCCGTGCTTTAGCTGTAACTCTGACGTGGCCGTGGGGGGCGACGGGTACCGCCCTCTGCCTACGCCACCGCCTCGGTTCTCCCCTTCCTGTCTCATGTCAGCCAGGGTGCCATTCGGGAGCCAGCCATGGAGGACAAGCCCTTGGTGACGTCCAAGCAGAAGACGGAGGTGGTGTGTGGGGTCCCCACCCAGGTGGTCTGCACGGCCTTCAGCTCGCACATCCTGGTGGTGGTGACCCAGTTCGGGAAGATGGGCACCCTGGTCGCTCTGGAGCCGGGCGCTGTGACCAGTGACATCAGCAAGCCCGTGCTCACGACCAAGGTCCTCCTCGGGCAGGACGAGGTAAAGGGCTGGGGGACTCCGTGGGGGAAAAGCCGCTTCTGTGCCTGTAAATGGTCCCCAAAATGCCCCACCCGGGCGACGGCATTTTCCACGCTGTGTTGTGAGGTGTGTGCCCGGGGTCCTTTCCCAGCCCCTCAGCCCCTCAGCATCTCACCAGTGGCCCCTGTTTTACCAGCGTGTCCCGTCCGTCTCCCCCCCCCCCCCCCCCCCCCCCCGCCAGTGTGACCCCATCGTGAGACCTTACAGTGGCCGCCGTGCTCTGTTCTGGAATCTTCTCACCCTGGCAGAGTCCTTCTGCGCCGTGTGCGCCTGGCGTGTTCTGAGCTGCTGAGCGTGGAGCCCTGTCACAGCGAACGCTGGGGAGCCGGTCTGGGCTCCTGGGGGTACTTCCAGCGTAAAACCCAGACATGACGTGCTTTCTCCCTCCCCTCGCCAGCCTCTCATCCACGTCTTCGCAAAGAACCTGGTGGCCTTTGTGTCTCAAGAAGCCGGAAACAGAGCCGTCCTCCTGGCCGTGGCGGTGAAGGACAGGAGCGTGGAGGGGCTGAGGGCCTTGAGGGCGGTGATTCAGACCTGCCAGGTGTGGTGACCTGGACCTTCGGTGCGCAGAGCCGGGGGAGGCGGGGCCTCTGGCTGGAGCCCTGTGCCTGGAGCCGGGAGGGGCCTGGCTCCCTCAGACTTCCTTTGGCCTCTGGCCGTCCTGGGAGGAGGGAGCGGGGAGTGCGTGGGAGAGGGGGTGAGGGGTGAGGGGTGTCTCACCGGCCCGTGGGCCGCAGGTCTGAGAACTGAAAGTGAGGGACCGGCAAGTGGAGCAATTGCTTTTGTATTAAAACAAGTGCAGGGCCGAGACTGCCCCGCCTTCCTGCAGCGCTGTGACCAGCTCGGCCAGAGGCGGAGGGGGAGGAAGCTGAGTGGCAGACCAGGGGCTTGGTTCCCACGGCGAGGGCCCCAGGAGCTGCGACCCCGCCCACCTTCTGTGGCTCCTGAGTGAGGAGTCCACAGGGCGCTGACTTCCGTTCCGGTCTTCCCGTCTCCCTGTGTGTGGTCACCACGATGGGCACACAGGGGAGGACCGTCCAGGGGAGGGCATTTCCAGCAAAGGAAGGAGGTGGTGGAAGGGGGGGCAGACCAGCAAGGCTGCAAGGACCACTCAGGAACAGCATGCCCGTCTCACGTGGGACACTGCTCGGTGGCAGTGAGGACCGGGCTCTGGAGAGATGGTGAGGAGTGGAAGGCTCAGCCAGGGAAGTGGGAGGAAGGAGGTAGATATAATTTTACTGATTTCAGAGAGAAAGGGAGAGAGAGACATCAATGGCTCAGCTGCTTCTTGCACGCCCCCTATTGGGGATCAAGCCTGCAACCTGGGCATGTGCCCATGACCAAATCGAACCTGGGACCTTTCAGTCCACAGGCTGATGCTCAATCCACTGAGCCACACCAGCCAGGGTGAGAAGTTGGGACGTTCTGATGAGGCGTGCTTCCCCCCAGGACGCTGAGAGCCCAGGGCAGAGGCGGGGTGGCCGGGCGCCTGCGTTCAGGACAGGGACAGCCAGCTCCAGGCTTCGTGTCTCCTCAGCCCACAAGAGCACAGGACGGAGCCCCTCACCGCCCGGAGTGACGCCCGGGGCTGGGCAGGACTGTAGGACAGAGGACCGTGCGCTGGAGGGAGAAGGGAGGGGAGGGGGGAATCAGGAGAAGAGGCTCTAAGAGAAAAGCCCAGAAACAGCCCTTGAGCAGGTGCCGAAGACCACGGGGCCCCCAGGCACCCACAGCCTGCTCTCGCCGGCTTCCTCTTAATCTTCAGTCCACACCATCAGGACCTGAGGGTCTCTGCACCCACTCACAGGGGGAGCACCTCCCTGCTGCTGGGCCCACACCCCAGCCTCGGCCCCCCCCCTGGTAACGAGCTCACACACCCCCCCCCCCCCCCGCCCATTGGTGGGCACTCCCTTAATATTGGGAGGGGCTGTCCCAAGACACCCTCAGGCTTCCCGGAGAACACGCGAAGGGAGGAAGGGAAACGGGGGGGGGGGGCGGGGGGGCTGCCACACTCGGGTGTGACGGGCACTGTGTCCCCACTTCACCTTGTAAAGTTGGCTTCAGACCCTCTCCTCCCAGGGGCCAGAGGAGCAGCCACCCCAAAGCCACACTGGCCAGTGGTCCAGACAAAGCCCACACGGAGATGTTGGGGTCTCTGCGGCCAATGTGTACCCCCACAGGATGGTGGGTGGGGCATGGGGAGGTGTGGCCCAGGGGCAGCTGGGCAGGTAGGCAGGCCTGGCAGTGGAGAACAGGCCAGAGTCGTCGTCCGTGTCGTGTCCCCGTCCCATTCCCCCTCCCCCCCTGGCTCAACCCTGCTGCTCTGAGGACAGCAGCGGGCGGGGGCCTCACGGGGCCCAGCACCCTCACACCCAGCGGCCCAGGTAGCACCAAGGAAGTAAACTGTGATGGGGGGGTGCATTCACGTGTGTGTGTGTGTGTGGAGGGATGCAGTATCCAGGCTGAGGCCTCAGACAGCCCAGTGAGCTGGGGGCTCCCGGAAGAAAAACGCACCTTGAGATTCTGAGAGCCACAGCCCTTCCCCCAGGGGCCATCCCCCTGGGGGAGCCAGGATGCCACCTGGTACCCAGAGCATCTAAGGGCCCCGGTGCACACTCCGCTGACGGGCAGGTACAGGCAGGCCCAGGGCAGGTGGAGGGTATGAAGTCAGGGGTCCCCAGGGCTGACGGGGTTGGTGGGCCGGTCAGTCCCTTGGCCCGGGAACAGAGGAGCCCACCACGCCATGCCCAACTGGCAGGACCCCAGGCGGAGGAGCCGGCTGGGCCCGAGTTCTGGCAGCAGCTGGGACCAGCTTTTTTTTTTTTTACATTTTTATTGATTTTAGAGCAGGTGTGGGGAACATCTGGCCCACTGGCCATATAGGGCCGGGGAGTTAAGTGGCCTCATTGGTGAACTGGTGGGGCCGAGTGAAAGTGGAGGAGGGGTCTCGTGAGGAAGGAGGCTGAGATGGAAGGGATGTGGCCGGGGCGCCCAGAGGCTGAAGAGGCAGGAAGGCCCCTCCCTGGGACTCTGAGGAGCACAGCCCCGGACACCCCAATTTCAGATCCGGCCCAGAACGGGGAGCGCCCCGCTCCTGTTGGTTTAGGCCAGTCATCACCGGAGCAGCAGCCCCGGAAACGGGCCCTCCTGGCCATCCTTTTGGGGCTCTGACTGGATTCTGGGAACAGCTGAGCCCTGTGCCCGGCAGGGGGACCCCCTCGACCTCTCACTGCCAGGCTTACAAGACACCCAGCCCTGTGGCTGGGCCTCGCCCGTCTCCCGCTCCCCGGCTCCTGGGCAGTGACAGTGCAGCGGGCACCCAGGCAGACTGCTGGGTGGGAAGCGCAGGCCATGTGGCTCAGGGACAAAGCAAAAAAAATGGCTGGCCCAGTATAGCAGGCTGATTTTTAAACTGATAATTGTGGCCTGTGAATGATGTTATAAATATCAGAACCGGGTCTGCCGGCCAGTGTGGCTCCATGAATCAGGAGGCATGGTTGGATCCTGGTCAGGGCTCATGCCCGGCTGTGGGCTCCATCCCCAGAAGGTGGCATGCAGGAGGCAGTTGACCCATGATTCTCTCATTGATGTTTCCCTCCCTGAAATCAATAAAATAATATATGTTTTAAAAATACATATATATCCAAATAGAAAGGTGAGGGAGTGGGTGGTAGGAGGGCATCGATGAGCGGAAGCATGGATCGGCTGCCTCCTGCTCACCCCACACTGGGGAACCAGCCCATACCCCGGGCCTGTGCTCTGACTGAGCCCACCGGTGACCTCTCGTAGGGGCCAACATTAACCACTGAGCACACCAGCTGGGCGTGACCGCCTTTGAGAGGAGCAGGTGAGGGGCTGACCTCTGCACCTGGGGGTTCCCGCCGCCTGTGGGAACAGCTGGGGGAGGCCCAGGGTTCGCCCGAGGTCACATCACAGGCACGGCGCCTGGTGGGTCAGGCTCACCGCCCACGAGTCTGACCCCGGGCGCAGGCCCTGGCCCAGGTGAGGAGGGATCTGACCACCGAGAGGCGACCCCTCTCTGCTCACCTGCCCCGAGGGCCCCCGGGGAGGGAGGAGTGGCCAGAACAGCTGGCCTCCGGGCTGTCCCTGTCCTGCAGGGAGTGAGGGGCCCGGGGTCCAGCCACTGCCCCTTCCCTCCCTGTCCCGGCTTCCCCGGTGTGACCGGAGGCCTGAGCCTGAGGCTGACATGGAGTCCTGGCTCAGGGGCCCCAACCCCACACCCTGGGTGATGGAGCTGAGCTGGCGGCCTTGGTGTGGCCGGGACAAAGCTCAGCAACACGTCCTGCCCCTGCCGGGCGCCAGCAGGGGAGGGCCTGGGGAGAGCCAGAGGGCCAGGGGCAGGCCTGGGGAGGCGGGGTGTCCGGTGGCCCTGCCTTGTCTGCCAGCTCAGAGCACAGCTCAGCTATGGAAGGGGCTGAGGCAGGGAAAGGGGGTCCTGTCCATCGTGGGAGAGGAGCCACCTGTCCTCAGAGATGTCCCCAGACTGCCCGCTGGTCTGGAAGGAGGTGTGGTGCCAGATGGAGGCCAAGAGCCGCGGGCAGTGGGTCACTGGGGATGAGGGCACTCGGGTCTGGGGCTGGCTGGCAGCTTCTCGCACTCCCACCCCCAGCCACTGTCCTGCCGGGCCTGGCCACCTGGTCAGTAAACAGTGGTCAGAGGCCCTGGCTGCCTGGAGCTGGGCCAGCAGGTCTGTCCTGTGACAGGCTTGGTTGCCATCCAGCCTGACAGGAAAATCAGGCCCAGCCAGCCTGGCCACCTCCTGAGTGGGTGTGTGCCCTAACACCAGCTGCCCAGGGTCAAGGTCTCATTCCGCCAGAGAGCCCCAGGGTACAGAGCAGCCCGCCTCCCGACAACCACCCGGACATGGGCTGGCCCTCGGTTTCACTGTGGGCAGGCTCAGCACAGCCGGGCCCCTTCCTCTCCCCAAGGAGGGTCGCCTCACCCACCATAGCATCCTCCTTGCTCACGGCCTGATCTGCAGGACTGGGCCCCGGAGGACCACCTGGCCACCTTCCCCTGAGCTCAGGGCGCAGCAGAGGGGGGTCCCAGGCCCCCAGTGATGGCAGAGACCTGCAGGCTATACCCCCGGGAGGGGCAGACGGCCCCAGACTCACCTCTGCAGATGAGAAAGCCGAGGCCCAGAGCAGCACAGGGCCTGTTAGGTGGCCGAGCAGAGCCCAGGTTTGTGAAAGGCACACAAGGTTCATGCTGGCAGGAAGGGCCAAGCTGAAGCCAGAGCTGCCCCACGAGGCAAAGCCATTGCCCACGGGGTACAAGAGGTTCTGGAGTGGGGACGCTGCAGAGCCAGGGCTCTCTGGAGGCCTTCCTGGAGGCGGCGGCTGAACAAGTGTGTGCCTGGGAGAACAACCCAGAGCAACACGGTCTGGCCACCACCACCAGGGAGGCCTTGAGTGGAAGGACCTTCCCAGGAATTGGGGACCCTCAGGAGCCATAAATCAGCTCTGATGTCAAAGTTCCCTCGCCCCCTAAATAACATAAATGTAATTTTTTAAACCCCCTCGTCCCACT